TAACAACAAAAAGTCCATGTTCATATCGGAACAGAGGATAGAATTCATTGGAGCAATACTAGATGCTGTGGCCACCAGGGCATTCCTTCCTAGAAAGACTACTTTAGTGGGGACTCCAGGTTCCCCATGACAGTCAGGGTGTGTCTGCACCTCCTGTGACACATGGCATCATGTACTTCCGTTGTCTACCATATCAGATTTCATGTGTGTCCTCTGCAAATGTGGTTGTCCTGTGCCATCTTCTAGTCCAGAGATCACTTGGACAGGATTCTCACTAGGGATGTTAAAATGCGTTTAATTTGCTAACTGTATAACTGCTGAAATTTTCAGCATTACCCATAGGACAGCAGCTAGCTCCCTGGGAGCTGATGTGCATGTATCAGAAGCAGCAGTGCAGGGCAGCAGCTGGCTCCCTGGAAGCTGGACCAGAAGCCGTAGGTAAATATTTAGGTAACCGATAAGCTCGTGCTTATCGGTTACTGGTTTAAACGGCTACACTCTTAGGCTACGTCTAGACTACATCCTTTTTTCGTAAAAGGGATGTAAATTAGATGTATTGCAATTGCTAATGAAGCGGGGATTTAAATCTCCCCCGCTTCATTAGCATAAAAATGGCTGCTGCTTTTTTCCCCGCACGGAGCTTTATCGGAAAAAAGCACCAGTCTAGACACTGATCTTGCGGAAAATAAAGCCTTTTCCAAAAGATCCCTTATTTCATAGAGGGATAAGGGATCTTTCAGAAAAGGCTTTATTTTCCGCAAGATCGCCAGTCTAGACGCTGATCTTGCGGAAAATAAAGCCTTTTCTGAAAGATCCCTTATCCCTCTATGAAATAAGGGATCTTTTGGAAAAGGCTTTATTTTCCGCAAGATCAGCGTCTAGACTGGCGCTTTTTTCCGACAAAGCTCCATGCAGGGGAAAAAAAGCAGCATCCATTCTTATGCTAATGAAGCGGGGGAGATTTAAATCCCTGCTTCATTAGCAATTGCGATACGTCTAATTTACATCCCTTTTACGAAAAAGGGATATAGTCTAGACGTAGCCTTACATTACTAGTTCTCACTATCCACAAAACCATACTTACCTCCTTTCCGTGGTGCACCTATCCATTGAATGTTCCTCGCAGACAGTGTTATCTCAATGTTCTATATCAATAGGCAGAGGGGAGCCTGTTCTTTGGCCCTCTTCCTGGAGGCCTGCAAGTTAGGGCTGTTGCTACACTTCAAAGGCGAAAGCGCCGCATGGAGCCTGGCGTCATGCTCCTTGTGGTGTTTCATAGCGGCAGCACCATGTGGAGCCTGGGGACTGGCCCCAGGCTGCACACAGCGCTGCTGCTTTGAAGTATCCCCTCATCTCCCCTCCCTCTTGCTGCCTCTTTCTGATAGAGGCAGCAAGGGTCAAGGAGAAGCGACTAGTTGACTAGTGTATTGACTGTCTGATAAGCTTTTGCTTATCAGATAAGTGACTAGTCGACTACATCCTTACTACCAACTAGTAAAAGAACACGGGCAAGGGGCAAGAAAGAAACAAATAGGAGTATAAATGGTATTGAGCAAAAGTAACCAATACAATTTCTTTACTAAAAGAACAACATTCTATCAAAGAAAGATAAATATATATTCCAAGTAAATGATTTCCAGATAAATATTAATGGATTGATTCCAACGATGAAGAGAGCTGGACTGTACTATCCAGAGAGTGGAAAGGGAAGTGATTTACAATACAGTCTTTCTCTAAGAATGTGGTCTTCACTATGAAAATATTGACAATCCTGACTTGAATGATCCACCTTTTCCAAAGGGAGAGAGAAAGTAACCTCATTAGCATACTGGAATCTGCAGTATTATCTGCAAGTCTATTGACATAAAGTGACTGGGAAAGAGACCATTAAAATGCATGACTTTGTTGAAGTAAAGATATGTAGGTGTCTAAACAATAATTCCTTGTTGGGATTCGATAGCCCGTAATGTCTGCACTCTTCTGAGAGAAAATCTGAGTATAAGAGGTTTGAGCTTTGAGTAGATACTATTTTATTGTGGCATAGTTTCAAGGCAAAGAAAATTTATTAGAGTCAAAATGTATACCGGAAAAGGCACGGTGTTTAAAGAGCTGCCATATTTTTTCATCTAGTTAATACAAGAATAAATTAAGTCCTAAAATGTTCAGGATATACATTGGAGGCCCACTGTCATGAGCAGGCATAGGGGGTTAAATTTTTTTGTCTGATTTCTAACTCTTAATTGGTATAGCGGTTTCCAATCACTGATTTAATTCCCTAGAGGCTGTTGATGAACTCCAAAAAAGCTCTTGTATTTCAGCTCAAACCACTATGTTTTAAAACTCTTTTGAATCTTAAGAGTTGCTTTATGAAGTGCTTTAGACACATCACAGCAGAGTCTGCCTGCTGCGTATGCAAATTTCCTGTGTTGTAGACAGGCTTTGGTCTCAGAGGTAGACAAAGGTCTCTTCATTCAAACTTCACTTTCTATATGTGTTTTGCACCTGTTGCTTAAGAAGCTAAATGATGATGTGGGTATTAGATTTTAACTTAAAATATGCACACAATCATAGAATTCTAGAACTGGAAGGGTCCTCGAGAGATCATTAAGTCCAGTCCCCTGCCCTTGCAGCAAGACCAACCACCATCTAGATCAGCCCTGTTAGATGTCTATCTAACCTGCTCTTAAATATCTCCAGTGATGAAGATTCCACAACCTCCCTAGGCAATTTATTCCAGTATTTAACTATCCTGACAGGAAGCCTAATGTCCAACCTAAATATCCCTTTGTTGCAATTTAAGCCCATTCTTCTCCAATCATCAGAGGCCAAGAACAACAATTTTTCTCCCTCCTCCTTGTAATAATACTCTTTTAGACACTTGAAAACTGCTATGTCACTCCTGTCTTCATTTTCTAAACTAAACAAATCCAATTCTTTCAGTATGATTATCAGATGCACTGGTATCATAAAGGAAAATAATTACACACACAATTGAACCAGTAGATGTTCCTGACCCCCAAACAAGAAAATAATTAACCACAGTTTAGTGAGACACTGTGTAAATAGCAAACTGTTATTTGAGAATAAATATTTTCCCAAACTTTTGTTTGGTTAATATATTAGGGATGTAAAAGGTTAATTGGTTTAACCAGTAAGCATCACATTAACCGGTAAGGGCTGGAGCAGCTCCCTGTGTTACCATCTGTGTTACCATGCGTAGGGGGCTGCTCCAGCCCTGTGGGGCCTACCAGAGCAGCCCCAGTCTATGGTGAGCCTGCCCCCTACACCGTAAGTTATGCTGGGGGGGAGGGGCTGCTGACCCTGCAGCGAAGCCTCCCTGGGAGCAGGGCTGGGAGCCCTTTCTAGCCCCCCTCCTGGGGAGGGCCACCTCCTAGGAATGGGGCTGCCAGCAAACTCCCAGAGAGGCTTCACCATGTAAGCTTTATACTGCAGAGCCTGCAGCCGTATAACTGCTATGATTTTTAGCAGTTATACAGTTACATTTTAAGTCACATTTTTACATCCCTAGCCTGATCTAGCTAATGCCATTGTTTTAAAAAAAGGCTAAATTGAATAAAATTCAATCAGAAATACCGGTTGATCCTCTCTAGTCTGGCAACCTTGAGACACTGAATGGTGCTGAACCAGAGAATTTGCCAAACCACAGGTTGTCAACCAGGCCCTGTGGCTCTGATGTCACCCCCAGCTGTGGGTAAAGTGGGTGTGAGGACATGGGAAACTTGATCCTTTCCATAATAAGTATACATTTGGCTAACTAAAATACCAGACCAGATAGGTTCAACCTGTTCTTAATTGGCCTCATCTTTAACTTTTGAGCCAAAGTATGTATCTTTTATTGAATGGGCCATCATCCAAAGTAATTTTGAATCATAATTGAAATGTATACTTAAAACTTCATTAGGTTTTTGGATTTTGATGAATTGGTATTAATTTAAATGTTTCATAAATCAGTATTTATTAAAGAAGTCAAGGGTTTTTGTTTCGTTTTCAGAGGCATTTTGGTGAGACTGGAAGGATGCAGCCATCCTGTTGTTATGAAAGGTTTGTGCGCAGAATGTGGCCAGGACTTGACTCAGTAAGTATTATTTTCATTTTTTTCCATTTACACTAATACAAAAATAAGATTAAAAAAAAATGTGATTTTTTTTTTTGATTCCCTTCTCTCCCTGTCCCTTCTAAAGCTCTTGGAATCTGAAAATATTGTAACTGTTGATGGAGAAATCCATGTAATTGCACTCAGAATACTTCAAAAGGGGAAATTTGACCCTCTGGAACAAAAAGAAACCAGTACACATAAGCCTTTCTAGATATCACTGTATTGATGAGGAGTAGAGAATAGCAAGTTAATGCCAGTATTTCAGAAAATGGAATTTACTATAGCAGTGTTTCCCAAATGGTGCTTTGCGCAACCCTGGGGTTCCGCAAAGTGAAAGTAAGGGTTCTGCGACAACCCGAACGCCCCCCCGCCCTTAAAGAGACAGAGGAGCCTGGCGCGCAAAGACTCTGGCTCCTTCTCCGGTTCCCCGCTGGGCTTTCTGACACTTTCTCGTCCCTTGCTGCCGCTCTGGTTTTACCAGGGGACCTAGCAGCAGCAACAGCTGCTGGTCCCACTTCTCCCCGATCAACCCAAGATTCTTCCCCCCCACGCCCATTCCCTGCTGCCACTTTGCTTTTACCAAGGGATCTAGCTGCCTTCTATGTGCTTGGGTGGTGGGATGTTTTTTTTGCTTGACAGACTTTTTCCCTGGCAGTAGAGGTTCCTTAAAATTTTTCCGAGTTTAAAAGGGCTCCGTGGTCCAAAAATAAAAAATGGGAAACACTGTACTATAGTATTTAAAGCATTGTATAAACCTGATTTCATCCTGAGTTGCTATTTGTACTACTAGAGGTGCACATCTGTCAGTGTAGAGCAACTTGTTAAACAAACAATTTCTTTCTTCCCTTATAGGGTCACATGTAACTACAGTAGTCACAAAACCCAAAAAAGTAAATGGTATATATTTATTTCAGCTGTAACTTTAAAAAGACAATATGATTGCAACAGATGTTAGTTGCCTTAGAAGATTATCTGTAGTCTATAGTCTAGTTAAGGGGTGGGCAATAATTTTTGGCTGGGGGCCACCTCAAAAAAATTTTCTTCAAAGTGCTGCGTGCTCCTCACAGGGCAAGAGCAGGGCGGAGGAAGCTTCGAGCACTCCCCCACCCCCAATCTCTGAAGTGCTACACGCTCCTGACAGGGCTTGGGGGAGGGGGAGTGAGTGAAGTCTCCTTCTGCCCTGCCACGAGCGCGCGGCACTTCGAAGTGCTATGTGTTCCTTGCAGGGTGGAGGAAACCTTGTGCGCTTCCTTTGCCCCCCGATGCTAATTGGCCTTAGGGGCGGAGTAGTGAAAGGGCCTCCATGGTCTGTATCAACCCATTTGGCGGGCCGGATCTGGCCCCAGGAGGCCCTTTTGCCCACCTCGGTCTAGCTAATGCCCAATGGCTGACATGTAAATCTTTGTAGCACACTAGGCTCCTGCATATTAACTGGTTGTGTGTCACCCACTGTTCTCTGAAAATTCCTTAGTGCACTTTTGATCTATCAAAGTGTATGTCAAGTTTCATAATTAAGGCTAAGATTTTGGCACAGGTATTTTTATAAAAAGTTAGACTATGAGCAATAAACAATAAAATCAAAGAAATGTATGTAGGGTTGACGTTAGGGGGTAGCAAGCAGGGTAGTTTATGTGGAGTTCCATGCTACACGGGCCCCTGTTATAGGTAATAAGGATCAGGGTTGGTCATCGGCCTTTGGAGGTGGGAGCTGAGCTACTAGAATTTTGAGTACATTGTTAAGGTCTCAAAATCACTGAATCCGTGACTGACTCATAGTTTTACTCATAACTAATGCAGGGTTTAAAATGCCCTTTTATAAAAGGGTATTAATTCGTTGTGTTAATTAACAAAAGATATAACTGCTTTTCTTAATTTGAAACATTGGTGAACAGTTTGCACGTAGCCATACCCTGTTAGGAGTCTTAATTATATTTATTTCCTCATTAAATTCATATTCTTGTGCAATATATAGCCTAAAATTAGTTCTAATACATTTTTAGAAGAGAGACTAGATATCTGTACAAATAAATGATTAGAGGCATGCTGAATGTGAATCAGATTGATGAGGCAGGAGAGACAGGGTTAAATGCACCTTTATAGATTGGGTAGATGAAGGGCTAGATCATGAACTTGCCTTTGATTTTTGGGAAATCAATAGCATTTTCAAATAATACTTAACTCAATGAAATAAGTCAAAAAAAATTTCAGAAGTTCCTATTTGCATTAAGACTCTCAAGCATTTAAAAATTCACGATTGACTGTGCTGTTAATAATGGAATGCCATTTATTGTAAATGTTTTAGACATTTTCTGTTTAAAAAAATATTGATTTTAATTACCACACAGAATGCAAAATATACAGTGCTCACTTTGTATTCTTATTACAAATATGTGAACTATATAAAATAAAAACATTTGGTACTTGCATTGGGTGAATTAAAAAATAAAGTACAATCTCTTCATCATGAAAATTGAACTTAAAATTGCAGAGTTAAGTTTTAAAAAAAAAGCAACCAAAAAGTAAAACAATGTTAAACTTTAGAGCTTACAAGTCCATTCAGTCCTACTTCTTGTTCAGCCAATCATTGAAATAAGTTTGGTTACAGTCTTCAGGAGATATGCAGGCAGCATTCTTGTTTACAGTGTCACCAGAGAGGGAAAACAAGTGGCATTGCAAGATATTTAAGGCCAAATCTGCTAAGCATTTGTATGACCCTTTATGCTTCTGCCACCATTCCAGAGGACATTGTTCCTTGCTGTGGATGTTTGTTTAAAAAAATTAGTTTATTAAATTCCTGACTGAACTCCTGGAAAGCGGGGGGAGGGAATTGTGTCTCCTGCACTCTGCCATATATTTCATGTTATAGCAGTCTTGTATGGTGATCCAGCATGTGTTCACTTTAAGAACACTTTTACAGCAGATATGACAAAACACAAAGAAGGTACCAATGTGCAATTTCCAACAATAGACTCTGCGTTCGATCTAAAGCAGTGGCTTCCAACCTTTTTACACCCAAGATCACTTTTTAATGTCAGGACAAGCCAAGATCTACCCCCGCTTCCCCAGGACCCCACCCCTTCCTTGAGGCCCCACCCTCTCTGTTCCTCTCCATCACTTGTTATTTCCAGCCCTTATACACTCTCAGGGTATGGCTACACTGCCGCTTTTTTTATCCTTCTGTCGAAAGAGGTTTTTCCGACATTTGGCCTGTCTAGACTGGGCCAAATGTCAGAAAAACCCCTTCTTTCAGAAGGCCCTTTCTTCCTCGTTGAATGAGGAATACAGGGGCTGCAGAAAGAATGTGTTTGCTCTTCCTCTAAAAAATGCAGAAGAACAAATGTGTCCCTGGATGCGGAAGAGTTTTTCTGGGATACTTCCAGTATCCCGGAAAAACTCTTGTAGTGCTGGGGCAGGGAACAGGGAGTCCCCAGTGCGTGTTTCCTTCCAGGACTCCTCCACCTCCCACGCACATAAAGGCAGCAGAGGAAGTCCTTGGTGTGCACTTTGTCCCGGGACTTGTACTCCCTCCCTGTGAAGGAAGGCAGTAGGGGAAGTCCCCGGAGTGCGCTTCCTCCCTGGACTCATACACCCCTAACCCCACTCCTGGCGCAGGAAGGTGGGGGGGGAGGTGCGGGGAGGGAAGTCCTCGGCGCACGCTTCGTCCTGGGACTCTTACCTCCTCCCAGCAGGAAGGCAGCAGGTGGAAGGAAGTCCCCAGCGCACCACAGATCCAGCCTTTCAGGTACCGTGCCAGGTGTTTGGGGGATGGGAGAGCAGCCTGCGCGCTTCCTGAAACCCCGGAAGTGGCACACAGCTGCGGGACTGCCCCACCCCCACCCCACAGGAAGCTGGCGCTATCTCCATTGTTGCTGGAGGTAGCATCGGTGGGGGCTTCTTGAGGGGTGGGGAAGATGGGGGTGCGAAGACCAGATGAGGCAGAGCCTTCCCGATTGACCAGTTGATTGTGATTGATGGGTTGGTGACCACAGATCTAAGACTTAAGAATCTGAAGTGGCATCCAAAATCTGAGAGGAACGAGATGTGGCACGTGCTTTTAGAAGGCTTAAAAGAGCAACAATCCGATACAGAAATTACAGCACCCAAGCCACCAAAAAAGAAAATCAATGTGCTGCTGATGGTATCTGACTCCCAGACGAAAATGAGCTTGTATCAGTCTGCACTGTTTCAGATCATTATCAAGCAGAACACATCACCAGCATGGAAGCATGTCTTCTAGGATGATGGTTAAAGCATCAAGGGACATAAGAATCCTCAGTGCATTTGGCATGTAAATATCTTGCAGCACCAGCTACAACAACTCCATGCAAATGCCTATTCTCTGGTGAAATTGTATGTAAACAAAATGCAGGCAGCATTATCTCCTGCAAATTGTAACCAAGCTTATTTGAGTGAGTGGCTGAACAAGAAATAGGACTGAGTGGACTTGTAGGTGCTACATTTTTACATTGTTTTGTTTTTGAGTGCAGATATGTAACACAAAAATCTAAATTTGTAAGTTATTTAGTTATAAAGAGATGCACTACAGTACCTGTATGAGATGAGCTGAAAATACTATTTGTCATTTTCACAGTAAATATATATGTGATATAAAGTGGGCTCTGTACACTTTGTATTATTATAATTGCAATTGCTATTGAAAATGTGGGAAAAAATCAAAATATTTAATACATTTCAGTTGTATAACATATTTAATACACTGTATAACAATGCAATTAATCATGATTAATTTTTGAGATAATTGCATAAATCAATGGCAATTAACTGACAGCCCTAATTTGCATAATTCTCTCCAAATGCTTCAACAGAATACTGATTCAGTGGGATTAGATTAGCTTTATGGAGAAGCTTGCACAGACTCTGTTCACCTTAATCGTGGCTCTGTCTGCTGAAGTTCTATATATCCCTTGTGTACAACAGTTTAAGTCAATAAAAATGAAGGGGTAAATAATTGTTCTCTTGTTTATTGATCATCCCTTACATTTTGTTCTAAACTTAAAAGGTCTATTTAAACGTCTATGTATGTACGAGTTTGCTTTTCCTCTCCTCTTTTTTGTCTTTTTATGTGCTTAACCCAAAATGCTCATGGGAGAGTGAACTTAATTCTGGCTCCCGTTACAGTACCAGATTCTGTCCTCATTAACACCCTTGGAACATAATTGAAAAGGACAGGGTGAAATTTGGCCATCCGAATCTCTGTTACCGGTGTTGAGGCCTGAACCAGAAATATAGGGGCTTGACATAGATATTTCAGGATGAATTTGCCAGTCTGGCAGTTACTTGTAAACTAACACACTTGGTATAGAAGTTATGATGATAACATGCTACCTTGTGTCACTCCTTGATCAGTTCTCAGTGAAGAGTTTTACATTGTAATCTGTTTGTATAAGGTACCTGAAGAGAGAAACAAGGCATGTAAATATATTTCTTTACATTCTTTGTAGAAAGATTCAGGTTATGCAGCCATGTTGCTATTGGTATGTAATACCATTGCTCATAATCTCAAGTATATGCATACAAGTCATTGTGTGCTTCAGGAAATGAGTCATTTTAAGTAACTTCAAACAGCTATTTTGGAAAGAGCAGTTTAATCTCATACCTGTTGATTTATTACTGTGTTAATCATTCAAATAAACTGTTTTGCTGATGTCCATTTAAATCTGTATTCAGTAGTTACAAAATGTGTGTAATAGAGCAAATGTAATATATGTAAAACTTAATAAGATAATTTAATCGATTTAATCTTTATATTTTATATATTAGATTTCTGAAGACATCTCTTTAGGGATGTAAACGATAAACCAATTAACTAGTAAGCCTTATACTTAATGGGTACATCTTACAGGTTCCAGTTAACTGGTGCAAGTTGGGAGCTGGAGCAGCTCTCCTCCAGCCTTGGGCAGAGGGCTGCTCCAGCCAGGCAGGGCCCACCAGAGCAGCTGCTGTCCATTGTTGGCCTGGCTGGCTGCCCCTCCCCCGCTGGAGATTCCATATTGGCTCCTCAGGAGCGGGGCCAGCAGCCCTTGAAGGTCCTACCCCCAGGCAGCTGGCTGCAGAGCCCACAGTGAAGCCTCCCTGGGAGCAGAGCAGGCAGCAGAGCCTCCTCCCCAGGAGCAGGGCTGGCAACAGACCTAACCCTGCTCCCAGGGAGGCTTGGTGGCAGAGTCTGCAGTATAAATAAAGCTTACTTAAGCTTTATACTGACAAGCCCACAGCTGTGTAACTGCTATGATTTTTATCAGTTCCAAGTTACATTTTTAACTGCATTTTTACATCCCTGGTGTTCTCATCCATTTTGTTCGGTAATTGTCACTTTAATGGGGCCTCTGAAAAAAGGTGCACCATACTAAATCGTTATATTGAAACGAAATCATGATTTTTGGCAGTGGCTGGTTTGACATTGCAGTTATTGATGATTAACCGCTTTCATTGATGAAATAGCACTGAAATGTACCTGAATGAAACTTTTTATTTTCTTCCCTATTTAATTAGGCTACAGAGCAAGAATGGAAAACAGAATGTGCCATTGTCCACAGCAACTGTATCTATGGTTCATAGTGTTCCAGAATTAATGGTCAGCTCTGAGGCAAGTGAATCACACTATTATTCCACAGTTTGAAGAACCTCCACCTAAATGAAATCTCAGAGGTGTGCCCATTTAATATAAAATATTAGATTGGCCTCACTTTGAGGAGAAAGCTCAGATTTCAATAAATTTAATTTAGATCTGTATGGGTATGTCTACACTACATAGAAGATCAAAGCTGCCACTGTTGATCCTCCAGGGTTTGAATTAGCAGGTCTAGTGAAGACGTACTAATTTGAACTGGGAGGGGCGTGCTAGTTGATGCTGGTAGCCCTGCTTCCATGAGGAGTAAGGGAAGTCAAAGGGAGAGTGTTCTCCCTTTGACTTCCTGCAGTGCCAAAAGTTGAGTTCAGGTACTTTGACTTCAGCTACGCAATTAACGTAGCCGATGTTGTGTGTCTTGATTCAACCTTTTGCCGTAGCGTACACATACCCTAAGTCTGCACTATATACATGTATTGAATGAATTATTCATATTTTTCTAATATGCTAATATGTACTAATATAGATTATAGATTTACGTTAGCAATTGCCTGTCATTCTGCAGTATTGTTACTTATTACAAGGCTATGATCTTCTGGTGGTTGCTTGAAACCTTTTGCTTTCCATGAGATATTTCTGCCTCTTCAGAAATAAGCAATTGATGCTAGTCTTATTTGCACCACTTACCATAAACCTACAAAGGCTGAAATGTTTCTGAAATCTAGTTTTTTCACATACCAAGGGAAGAAAAACAACCCATTCTTTCCAGTAACATTTCAGTACCTGTGACATAGATTTTGTATTTGAACAATTTGTGAGGCCTAAATATTGCAATAAAACTTATGAGCTGTGAAGATGTGAAAATAAACAAGAACGTTCTTGTCACTGGCCTTTCTTTGAGAAAGAGAGTTGATTATGTTAAGACAAAACACATCCCTCCCATTTCTCTTTTTTAACCAGCTTTCCTCACTTTTTTCTTTTACACTAATTCTCTTCGTTTTTCTCTAGCTCTTCTCTTCTATTCTCTTTTTTTCTATCCCCGCCCCGCCCCTCCCGCCCTTTTCTTATCTCTTTCACTTTTAGAATTCCCTAAGTAGTTTAGGGGAAGATACCACAGTCTAAAAATATGCCAATTTTGATGGAACTCTCCAAGGACACAAATTGTGGTTAGGCACCCAACTCCCATTTGTGCCTTTTAAAAAACTCAGACTTAACTTACATAAATTATTTGCATACTTACATGACTGGTCTGCTCAGCATTCCAGTCAACTAACAAACCCAAATAAGAAAATATAATTAAACACAAATGATCTTCTAATGTGTGATATACTTCTAAAACTTGTAAGCATATTAATACTTGTATATTGGAGAAATAAATTGATCTTTTTAGTTCAAAGAAATGTGATCAAATATGGCTTTTCATGGTTAATTTACTAGCCATTAATTTTAAATCTCCACTTAGAGCTTAAAATTATATGTAAAATCTCCCATTTGACAAATATCAGTTTTTTTCCTTGAGTACTTCTGCTCTCTTTTGTAGCACAAGCTAAGTAGGACTTCATTTTGTTTCTTCTTTTAGTCATTTGCAATTTACATATTTTCATCTCTTAAATCTTACTGTTGAAGCTGTATTGGTGTAACTTCTTTCTACCCAGGATATTGATAGAAAAATTCACTGAAATGTAGAGTTAATTTATTTTTAATTAAGGCTGTCAATTGACATGTGTTTAACGCTTGCAATGAACGCAGGGCAGGATTAATGCGTTAATGTTTTTAACGCATTAATTGCAGGCATTAATGCTGCGCTGCCCCTTTGAAGTGCCACTTCGGTGCTTCAAAGGGTCAGCACAGTATAGAGCCTGGGATCAGCTGGGGGGTCCCCAGCTGACCCTGGGCTCCACTGCCCCTTTGAAACACGCAGAGGCAGCATTTCAAAGGGGCAGCCGCCTCACAGCTGAGCTGGGGATCAGCTGGGTAGTGGCTGCTCCTTGGAAACGCTGCCCCATTGAAATGCCACTGCGGCATTTCAAACAGGACACGCATGCAATTAATCGTGATTACATTTTTTTTTAATCACTTGACAACCCTATTTTTAATTTGAATACTTTATTCTATAGGCACGGGATTTTTTTGGAGAGTTATTAGAAGTGACTTTCAGCTTTTGAGTGCACAATTTTAGTAAGGCACCCTGATTTTTTATTTTTTTTAATGTGCTCAACTTTTTTTCTGAAAATCAGAATCTGCTAATGCCTCTAAAGTTGTGCACCAAAACTAGCAGTAGTTGCTTTTGATAATATTGGCCTTTAGTGATTTTTTTTTTATGCATTGTTTCCTTTCAAGAAAGGAGAAGTGGTGTTTGATAGATTTCTGTCAAATATTAATGGATTTCTTTTACTGAAAAATTGCTGGCAAAGCTAGCAAAAGTAAAGTGGGTTGGTGGCAAAATCTCTTCAGAAGTTACTGAGTTACTGGTGAGTCATAAATTTGATTTATTTATGATTTCATTGATTTGTTTCAGATTATGCTTAATCTGTGAATCTCTTCATTATAGCAAGCTGAACAGCTAGGACGGGAAGATCAACAGCGACTTCACCGAAACCGAAAACTTGTGCTAATGGTAGATTTGGACCAGACGTTAATACATACGACAGAACAGCACTGCCAACAGATGTCTAATAAAGTAAATACTATTTAATATTATGTTCTTGTGATAATTCTGGTTTAAAAGGTTTTCTGTTCCGTTCTAATGAAGTGATAGGTCTCTAAAAATGCATTTTGTACATTAACATGTAAGACAGTGGTCTCCAACCTTTTTAAGTACAAGATCACTTTTTGAATTTAAGTCAGTTCAGGACCTACCTCAAACCCAAATCCGCCTGCCCCACCCCTTTGCCAAAGCCCCGTCGTCCTCATTCTGAGAAGATGAGGTACATGGGAGGGAGTCAGTGACATCAACGCCTCTGCCTCCCCCACCCTGCAGAACAAGCAGAAGGCTCCCAGAGGGCAGTAATGAGGCTCAGTGCAGAAGCAGCAGAGCAGTGTGGGGAGGAGCAGCTGAAGTGCTTACACTTGATAGCCTCCCAGCCAAACCAGTCAGGATCACCTGTCAGAGGCTCCAAGATCTACTGGTAGATCCCGATCTACTGGTTGGTGACCACTGATGTAAGAGAAAAGCTAGTCAAAGAATGAAAATACATAAGAGGGACACTCAGCATAGAAAGTATATTTCAAAAATTTGTCATTAGTTAATGAAACATCCTGATTGTTTCATTTGAAATAACTTTTAAAGTAACTAATTTACTTTACACCATTTATATAATTCTGTGCCTTCCATTTTGGTTAGGTAGGACAACAAAGCTAAGTCCGTCACTTTTAATTCTTGCTTTTCATGCAAATAACTGTGTTGCTATTTCAGGTTCATAGGCACTAGAAAAAATAGCTGAATAGAATATCTTTAATTAAAAGTAAAATTAAGATTTCTCTTCATATTATCGAACTTTGCCCTTTCTCATACTGTATTTAACTAAACCTACCATAAATCTGTAAAATAGGCTTCTAGTTTTTTAATTAGTGGGACATTTTCAGCTTGAAAACTGAGTAAATGAGTTTCAAGTATCTTGGGTGATACACGAAAAAAAATTATCTCATACGTTGGAAAATGACTATATACAAAGTAAACTACCAAAAAAATTTCTCTTAAACCTCTTAGTTCTAGTGTTACTGCTAGGTTATACTTGTTAATATTTTCCCTTATCCGAGAGGGATTTTTGCTTTTCAAAGAGAAAAATGTACATCAGATTGAATACATTTTCAAATAAAAATAGTATAGCTGAATTAACTGAATTGGGCTGAAGTAGGCATTTTTATTTTTGTACTAAATTACTTTATAAGTCTTATTATGGGGTTATTTATTCTCTTCTAGGGAATATTCCATTTCCAGTTAGGTCGTGGTGAACCTATGCTACATACTCGTTTGCGTCCTCATTGCAAAGAATTCCTAGAAAAGATTGCCAAAATGTATGAATTACATGTTTTCACCTTTGGTAGCAGACTTTATGCACATACAATTGCAGGTAAGTAGCATGCTACTTTGAAAACTTGAATAATGTTGAGAACACAATCACTTGATACGTGGGGGATCTGTACATTTGCCTGTTTCCCTCCCTCCTGCACCTCTTGTTTCAGTGTATTATTTTGTTAATTTCTTTAGATTTTGCTTTTAAAAATATTCTATTATTTTTAGGATCAAGTGAATGGCAACTAAGTAATTCATTTGTTTGTGACCCTAGTGGAAGAAATAAAAAAACATTTCTGTGTCTCAATCTAGCGAATGTTGTCATTGAGTAGAACTGCTATTATCCATATCAGTTCCCTTTCAGTCCTATTGTACTTGGCACTCTAAAAAGACATGATACAACAGGACTCTTTATTAAACCATTTGGGTCCTGTCTACCTACCAGTGTTGTATGTTCTTCATAAGAGATGATAAACTCTAAAATAGGGGATTTTGTAGAGAATTTTGGTCCAAGTAAAGCATTGAAGGTATACTTGATGAAACTTCCTTTAGACCGAGGCCATAAATGTAATTGATTATAGGGGACAGGAACTGTCTTTAGTGCATAGCACAGAACACGATTTTATGTTAACACACACCCCTTTTGCTGATGGAGTGTGGTTCTGGTTTGTTCAGGGAATGAGGAAATGGAGCGTAAGCTTGGTTCTCTTGCATAATAAGCTTAAGCACTTGCTGTGATATGTGTCTCTAGCCTTTGTTAGTTTCTGCCGATATGTGGTAAAGTGGTAGCCAAGCTGCAGTAATGTGAAACTAGACTTAGTCTGTGCTTATGTTGAACGCTTGATGGCAGTATTGTTCAGAGAAATCATTTTTAGTGGGAACCCTTCAGTTAGTATTTAAGTAAGGAGGTAGTGGATAGCTAAAAAGGAATAGGTGAGACAAGGGACAATACCAGATGAGACATGGGGATCTTTTATTTGTATGGAAGAACTTAATCCCTCTGCCTCATCAGGTTTCACGTACACTTTCTGTATGGGTCCTTGGGCAAAGTGGGGGAGAGGGGGGCAGCTTTGCACTCCTGGAAGGGATGAGGCCTGGGGCAGAAGGGGTAGGGCTGAGGGCTAGCCTCCCCCCACCAGCCCTTCAGTACCTCGCAGGACTCCGACAGCAGCTGGAAGCTCAGACCCCTTTTGAATCACCAGACCCTGAGACAGTTGCCTCGTTTGTCCCTGCTCTCCTTACCCCATTGGTCTTAACTAGCATCATAGAACTATAGAATACTATAATTGGAAGGGATCTTGAGAGATCATCAAGACCAGTCCTTTACCCTCACGACAGGACCAAGCACCATCTAGATCAGGGGTCAGCAATCTTTCAGAAGTGGTGCGCCAAGATTTAACTTACTCATGTCTATTTATGGATCTCTGGACCCCCAAACCAAGCCCCTGTGAGTACAAAGGCCCATGAGAGCCAGTCCCACCCCGCTGGGTCCTGCGTAGCCTAATCTGCAGCCGCGAGAGCAACCGAGACAGACGTCCAGGGATGAGTGGGCGGGCCATAATTATTCATGCAATTGCAAAAAGTTAACATATTTAATATTAAATTTATATACATTTTGTGATTTTATTTGGAAATAAATAAAAATCAAAACATTAACAAAATATCCTCTTCCACTCCCCCAGAACCAGGCACTCCCATATCTCTTCTAACTCAATTCCCCTCCGCTCCCCCAGAGCACCCACCCAGTTCTAACCCAGTGCCTCCTCCCTCCCCCAGACTCAGGCACTCCCAGCCCCCTTTCCCCTCCCCATAGCTAATTCCTGGGTCCCAGAGCCAGTGTCACTACCGCCAAACATTTCTTCCTCAGACGCTGGGGAGGCATGAGCACAGCAGCCAGCTGTGAGCAGGCACTTGATGCCTGTGCAGAGCAGCCCGGCCAGCCATGATCTGCACTCGGCCACGTGCTCTGAGCGGCCAGCGGGCCACAATGTTGTTCTTTTATAAAATGTAGTGGCAGGCCACAAAAAATTTCGATTGGGCCACATGCAGCCTGCCAGAAGCCTGTTTGACATGCCTGATATATCATGAGCTTTTGTGGGCACAACCCACTTCCACCCACAGAACCTCATGATACCATCTACATAAGAGGTGGGCAATAATTTTTGCCCGGGGGCCACTTCAAAAATTTTCAAAAAATTTTTGAAGTAGACCTGGGTCACCATGGAAGGGGCGAGGCCTAAACAGGAAGGGATGGAGCTACCCAGACCATGATTAGTTTGGGGTGGGGGAGCCCCTTTGCCCTCCCCTTCCCACTAGGCACCCATGTCTCTGGTAGGGCAGGAGGAGGCTTTGGGCACTCTCCTACCCCCAGGCCAATCAGGGCTTGAGCACAGGAAGCCTTCTCCTGCCTTGCGAGGAGTATGTGGCGCTTGGAAGCTCTGTGTGCTGCTCGCAGGGTGGGGGAGAGTGGGGGAGGAGTTCACGTGCTCCCCTACCCCCAAGCCCTAGTTGGCCTGGGGGCAGCGGACCAGCAGGGCCTCCATGGACCGGATCCGACCCACTTTTTCCTCTCTCTGATCTACATGTTTTGTTAGTCTTTAAAGTACTACTAGACTGTTTTGTTGTTTAAGTTTTTCCTGTTATAGACTAATTCAGATGCCCCTCTTATTTTAAAAAAAAAAAAAAAAAAAAAAAAGGTTCTATACTATACCATTCCTTTTTGCCTCCCTGTTTCCTTTCTTCTTTGGCGAATTGGGCAGGCAGGAGTTTTGGTAAAAATATATCAGACGTGCACACAGTGCCCGCTCCACATCAGCTGGTGCTGGATAAGAGCCTCAATTCTAAAGGAGTTGGAATTACTGAAGTGATAGATTACCCCACGTTTTGTTGCAGGTTTTCCATCTCCCAGTCATAGCAAAGACTTGGGATTAATGTGGTTTTCTCAACTAAAAGTCTTATGTTGATGCTGTGATTGTGAACACCTGGAGAGGCAGTCTGCTCAAGGCAAAGTTGGCCTTGAATCTTGATGTAAATGGCTTGTGTGAAATTTGGAAGAGCAGCTCAGAGTCCTCTCCTTTACTTAAGGATAGAATCTCATGGCAGCCTGAAGGAAAAAGTCCTCATGGCAGACAGAAAGCCACTCTTGCAGGGTATCCTCAGCCTTAGGCTACTTACTTTTTCTAGTGCCTTCAAGAAAGTGAGGGTGATTCTTGTGTTGTGTGTGTGTGTGTGTGTTGTATTTAAAAGTTTTTCAAAGTGTTATTTTAACAGGTAACTTAATCTTTTACATTCATAACTCTCATAGTTTTTCGCTGTATGATAATGTGAAACAATTAGGTTAACTAGGTAAGTAAATGGGCAGTTAGGAAACATTACAGATTGCTTACAATACATTTATTAGGTATCTTGTTAGTCTTTAAAGTGATACATAACTTTTTTCTTTGTTTTACCAAGATCAGACTAATACATAACTAATACCAATACTAATACGTATTGTAATTTATCTATTACAATAAATTTGATATGCTCAAAATCTTTTCTACTTTTTATTCATTAAAGCAATGTGCTACTCATTTTCCTATAACAGTGGTTTTAAATGCTTGAATGAAAGATAGTGATGAAATTCATATTTAGGTTGTACAGTATAACATTAATTTATCTCGTGTTTATGAAACTTACATATTTAGGGATTTGACATTTTTTTTTATGTAAAAGACATGAACCTAATGAGAATGGCATATGAACAAATTAAAGAGAAAAAAAATTTAACAGAATATAAAGTTTTCTGGTTTACAATTTCTATTTCTGTATTTAAACTTTATAATTTATATGTCTGGTCTGCAGGGAGACGGGGAGCAAAACCTTGGAGCACGCCCGCAGCGGGACAGCCCAGGCACGCCCGGGCTGTCCCGCTGCGGGTGTGCTCCGTGGCTTTGCTCCGCGTCTCTCTGGTCTGCTGGGGGGGACCTCCCTCCCCCCCCCCGTGGAGCAGCTTTTCTCGCCCCAGAGGACGGGGGCGGCAGGACTGCAGCGCATCTGGGCGTCCCGCCGCTCCAGTCCTCCGGGGCGAGAAAAGCCCCGTTCGTAACTGTGGATCCGACATAAGTCGGATCCGCGTAACTCAGGGACTGCCTGTACTTCCTAAGAAGAAAAATGTGTGTGCATTTTAACTCTTATTGTGAAGAGGAAGAAAATATTTACAAATGAGCTACTACAAACTTTGTGTTTAGTCAGTACCTGAGGATGGATCAATTGCTCTTTTTGTTAATACATGGTCTAGCCACTAGGTGTCTCTATCGGTCTTTTATGGAAGAAATTCATTTGATAGCTTGTACTGGTGAAAAGTTCTATTTTTTTAAAAAAGATTTAAAGATAGACTTTTTTTAAACAAATTAACCTTATTCCATCAATGAAATATTATGTGCCTTCTATATGCCATTTCTGTGAAATATGTAAACAAATGGCTATTACACTTTGCTTTTCCATTAGCTTGGCAATGTTTTAGAAAAGTAAATTTGATGAAGTTCTTTAGTAAGGATTGGTTTTTGGTTACTTAGTGTACTACATTCAATTTGACAACAATCTGTAAAGCTTCACTAATTTTTTTTTAACTACTTTATATTGAGCTGTATTAGGAACTAGTAAAGTCACATGAAAGCTTAAATTTTGGTTTTTTTTCTTAAAGATGTACTGGACCTGACTCTTACAAATTGAGCCTCCAATCTGTGGGGGCAGTTCTGCATCTGAAGTTAATAGTGTCCTTGGTTTTCTTTTTACCTGTCATCAGTTGTCGGAAAAAAGCTTAAATGAATTAGGCCTTGACCAAAGCCCAGTTAAATAACTATTTTTTTCTGCATCTTCCATCATTTTTTACTGAATTCAATGTGACAGTGTAGCAGTTAGGGATGTTAAAAAGCATGTAACTGTGCAATGGCTGAAAATCTCAGCAGTTACATGGTTACACACACTCCCCCAGCTTGAGGTTGCAGCCAGCATCCCAGGATCTGGTTCACACCAGGAAGTGACTTTTAAGCCAGCTGCTGGAATGCGTCAGCTGCTGCCTGCCGTGCCTGCCCCCCGCCACCTCATGCTGCCACTTCTGATACTGAAACAGTAGCATGGGGTGGTAGCTGGCTGCTGGGGAACCAGTATGCACTGGGAGCCAGCTTTTAATCCGGTTCCCATCTGCAGCCTGCTCATGGGGAGCTGTCTGTCACCCCTGCCCTGCTGGCAGCTGCTCCCCAGGAGCAGAGCAGGAGTTTGCATATAACAGTTAACAGTAACCAATAAGACCATGATTATCAGTTGTCTGTTAACTGTTTAAATGGTTATACTTCTACCCTAGTAGCAAGTCTTGATTATGGTTTCACTGATAAATTAGGCAGGAATGTACTAATGAGAATGGAAAGTTTTTCTTTTATGCAGATGACTGGCAAGAGGGTAGAACAGCTGACAATGACACTTGTACAGTAATAAAATGTAGTGTATGATGATTAACATACAGTTTGTCTCCATGTGTAGCTATGGTTCTATAGTTAATATTTTCAATTCATTATGCCTAGGTACTGCAAGGGTCTCTCTACAGGGGATGATTCTACATGCGTTTGCTGCAATTCTTAAGCATAGTCGGGTGAGTTAAGGTTGAACCTCTGTCCTTAACTCAGAATTTTTTTGCTTTTATGGGTTAAGTTATTCCAGTTATAATTACACACACACACACACACACACACACACACTTTTAAAAAGTTTAGTTTGTACAACTTGAGACACCTAAAAGGGGCCTGACTTGCAGAAAGTTCTTAGTACACACACTTTGAAAATTTATAAGGCCTCTGCAGCTTGCCTCAGATTTGCCTTCCTGAAATCAGTAAGTCACTTCTGAAAACTTGGGTAATAGAATATAACATGGCCACCTTTTTAAAATATTGTTTCTGAATAAATAAGTAATAATTGCATTATTGCAGGAGAAGTAAGAAGTTCAGGCTAATCTCAAAGCAGGTTATAATACAATCAGTTCAGCAAAATGGCAAATCCAGAGTATAAGAAATGCTACATTTTTCTTTCAGAGCGGTTATGAAACCTCAATGTCCCTTTATGATGAAAGGTTAATTATATTGACAGAGAGGTCAGTTACATTAACATATCTGTATATGGATGAATTTGCCATTTTGCCAAACTAATTGTATCTTATCTTGCCCTTAAATTAGCTAACCTACCTTCTCGTATTCCTTCTTAACAAAGCACAGTCAGCTCAGATCTATGTCAATAGGTCTAACATTTCTTATTCTTATACAAGTACAAATGCACTAAAACAATGTTTTAGGTACAATTTAAAACCACAAATGCAAGAGTTGAAACTAAAACCGCTCGTTAACTTGCCCATTATGCTTAAGCATTGCAGTACTTTGCTAGTTCACATGAGACATCTCTGCAGACCCTAGGTACAATGTGCTATAGACAGAATTTAGTCGTAAAGAACATACTATAATATTATAAGTGTAAGTTGCCAAACTTGATTTAACTGTCGCCTACTCTTAATTCCTTTTGCCTTAATTACTCACTGATGCCACAAGTTAATTTTTGTAACTTCATTATTGCTCCTATGTTAAAGGAACTTGGATTAGATTTTTAAAATAAGTACCACTGAATTAGTGACAGGTATCCAGTCTACTGTTTACACTCTTTATGTGGTCTATAATGGTAATAATGGTATATAATGAATACTTTTTGAAGCCTAAGTATCTCAGTGTGTTTTTGATTACACCAATATCCAGTTCCATTGATGAAATGGGTTTTACCCACCAAAGCTTATGCTGTAATAAATCAAATTATGTAGAATGTTAACAGGGAGGAACTGTTGTAATGAATAAATATTAACTTCAAACTCTTCTTTCAAAAGGATTTTTGGACCCTGAAAAGAAACTTTTTTCACATCGGATACTGTCAAGAGATGAATGTATTGATCCATTTTCTAAAACTGGGAATCTTAGGTATGTATGAGGAATTATGCAGGACAGGAAATGAAGGCAGTGTGTTGGGATCATAAGTACAGGTTGTGCCTCCCTCATCCGGCACCTTCCGGACCTGATGGGTCCTGAACAAGGGGATTTGCCGAACCAGAGGAGATCCTTCCCATAATGGCCTCTGCTGCCACGCTGCTGCCTGTGAAGGCATGGCTCTCCCTAAGCTTTAGCTCCAGGGCTGCCGCCAGAGCTGAAGTTTTGCATCTATTGCCACTGCCCCTGAGCCGGGGCTGGAGCTCCACGACTGTCGCTGCCAGTCCCCAAGCTCTGCAGCTGAGGTGGAGCTTTGCGGCTGTTGCTGCTGGCCCCCAAGCTCTGCAGTGGGGCTGGAGCTTTGCCGCTGCCAGCCCCTTGCTGCTGTCCAGCCAGAGGAGCTGGAACTCACTGCTGGTCCTCTGCTTCCTCCCTCTCCCCTATACGGGGCTTCCGCTCCTGCCCCAGCCTGATTTTCCTATACCCACTCTGTGGTCCAGGAACATCCTTGGTCCTGCTGGACTGTGGATGTTGCTGTACCAGAGAGTCCTGGTTAAGAGAGGTACAATCTGTATTAAATGGAAACATTGTCTCTGTCTCCTGTATCCCATAAATCTACATCTTTACAGAGTAAAATAAAACTGAGTACAGGCAGTCCCCGGATTACGTACCAGATAGGGACTGTAGGTTTGTTCTTAAGTTGAATCTGTATGTAAGTCGGAACTGGCATCCAGATTCAGCCGCTGCTGAAACTGACCAGCGGCTGACTACAGAGAGCCCGAGGCAGAGTTGCTCTGCCCCGGGCTTCCTGGAATCAGCCGCTGATCAGTTTCAACAGCAGCTGACTTGGGGACGCCTGGGGTTCTTAAGTTGAATCTGTATGTAAGAACTGGTGTCCAGATTCAGCCTGTTGAAACTGATCAGCGGCTGCTTTCACGACA